TTTCCTCCAACTTTAACCTGACACCACGTGATATAACTGGAATACTGTTCAACATGTTCAAAGTATCGTTAAACCCAACTCCCTCACTATATTGGCCCTGTTATCAGTGAAATACAGGTTACCTCTACACAGCCATAAGATTAGTGGTTAGTTGTTAGTTGTTACATGAATGGGGAAATTAATGATTCCAGTTTGGGAATTGTTAATGACATTTGCTGCAGACATAGGGCAAACCATTGACCTGTGAGCAGGTCTAGATAAACCCCTGCAACAGCTCACAGGTTTTGCCGAAATGTTACATTCTTGATCGGTTGATATTTCCCAATGATGCCAATTTGGTCAATGTTAGTTTACATGGTACAATTTTGTGCCGTTACCTAGACACCATGTACACAAATAAAAGTGAAAGTATTTGTTGTCGTATAACTGACATACTGCCTACAGGGGTTTGAATCAATAATTACTTGGGTGAAAACTATTGTATAATTTTAATATGCTTCTTTATTGTTGGTTTTATGGTTAGAGTGTCCAAAATGTCAGCTTTTCTAAGAAGACAAGGGGAGGTTATTTTGTTATGCAAAGAATCAACTTTTACCCATTGATTTTGTGAAAAATAAATGTCAAGTTAAGCAGTGTTGTTGATGAGATTTTTTAACACTAAGTAGCCACAAAACAATTTTGCATATGTGACCATGATACAAGGATAAAGGCCTTTGGTTTCTGCATGTTTCGTGTGTCTGTCTTTATTGCCTGATATGGCATCCAGTGGCTTAGGGCACCACAACCTCCTGGGCAGCATTTCATCTCAAATAAATTTACCCAAGTGAGATGTTTTGTTTTGTAAACATGGTAAATATTATATAAAATAACCAATAACTAAATCTTGATACAGAGCTTTGTATGTTGTTTTAGAAATACAAATAATGTGATATAAATAATAGATGATAATCATGACAATCATGTACTATTTGTTCATATTTTTCTGTTATTATGATGATTAAAGTTTCATGTATTGTGCACGGATGAAGGCATGTACAGCATCTCTGGGGTGGTGGGTAGCCTCGTGGTTAAAGCGGTCGCTCGTCACAATTAAGACCCGGGTTCGATTTCCCACATGGGTACTATGTGTGAAGCCCATTTCTGGTGTCCCCTGCCGTGATATTGCTGGAATATTGCTAACAGCAGTTTAAACCCATACTCATTTACTTACTTACAACATCTCCAGTGTAAGGTCTTGTGTTGTAAATGTGTACAAGACACTTGGTCGAGACGATAGTGGCGAATGTCTCCGAATATCAATATACATCGCAAGAATACATAAAATGTTTCGACTGCTTGTAAGAGAGCTACCATGGCTATAGCACAATCAATCTGGAAAATAATAAAAACATTTAAGCATGAGCCATTAGCAAGATCAGCCATGTGAGCCAAAACTTTAAGACTAATTATCATGATTATAAAATATTAATTTAAATTAAAATAGTCTTTATCATGTTTCTGCTGTTTCTGCTGCTGAATTATGTTTAATTGTGATCAGGATGTCTGCTTGAAATTGTGTTGGCCGACAATAATAGAGTTTTGTGTTCTCCCATCCTGAGATGGGGCCAGCTGTTGACTGGCAGCATATGTTCCCTGTCAGCCTAGTCGGATGTTTCAAGTCTCCCCAGTCCCACTCATGTTTACATTTAGCTCAGACACTTTCAGCATTTTACATTTTCGACTTCTTCTCTGAAATCGCTTCTGATGTTGATGGATTCAGGTTAAATTGTGTTTGGATGTTTGATGGTATTTGACCTTGGACGACACACCAACTGCGATCTGATATGTATCACGATACCTTGCTCACGATCTGATATGTATCACGATACTTGCATGTGTTCTTCTCTGTGGTGGGGCGGTCGGGTAGCCTTGTGGTTAAAGCATTCGCTCGTCACGCCGAATCGATCCGGGTTCGATCCCCGCCGTGATATTGCTGGAATATTGCTAAAAGCGGCGTGAAACCAAAGTCATTCACTTACTCACTCTCATTTGTGGTGCGTTAGCCATTGTTTTCACAGACAAATGGCCAAATACCTGGCACACTGACGATTTGCATTTGGCAGTGTCAAGTGTGGGGCAATGGATGAAAATATTCACCTTTTCATTACTAATTAGTGTTTGGTGTTACAGATAGTAACATGATTAAAGATAACATTAAAGGTTAAAATACATCTTTTTAATTTAGTGTGTGACTGTGATCGATTCTTGTATCGAGAAGTAAACAATCGCGATGCACTAATAGATCGGTATATTGTCCCTCTACTACTTGCTATAAGCATAATAAGGGGTTTGAGTTTGTTCAACATGTTCAAGGCATTAAAGTTTGAATTTCACTTTTCCCTGCCAGGTAGCCATCTTGGATTTTGGATCGGGGTGTGATTTTGTTATTGTTTTCGCCACTGCACCTACTGCAGACTGCAGTTCACAACTGGCTGCACAACCATGTGACAACAGGTAAACTGACTGCACCACATGCTAGGAAAAATGATAGGTGTATATATCAAAGATTGGTGATCTGGAATGTACACAAACAGGTTGTAAACGTTGAGCCTGTCACGAAATGAAAGAATCATTTTTACAATATTTTAATTTAGCAAGTGTTTTTTTTTTCTGTATGTTGAATATTTTACCGACTGCACTCACTTCACACTGCTTCTTAGCTTAGGCTGCACAAGATGATTTTTACCTGCCCCAGTGCATTCTACTTAATTGGAAATCTCACCCTGTGCATAATATGCACCCTGAGTCAGAAGGTGGGTAGGATGAAAACTGTATCTTCTTAAGTTGCAGCCACAGCTGAAACATGGCCAGGGTTAGAAATTGGCACTCGTCCTATAGTCTTTGCCAAACTGCCCAATAGTAAAGGTATCCTAAGGACTAGTAGAAATTAGCCATTTTTAAAGGTTTTGCTATATGTTAACATTATAAGGACTAATGGACTGAAACTGTTAGTTTCTACCGCCATGTTCTGCAGTTAGTCTTACTTACAAGGTTGATTGATGGTTGTTTACTCGGATATAACTGATACATCTTCCCAAGGCAGGGGAGTTAACTGACTATAAAAGTCCAGTTTCCACCCTTGCTGAACTAGGCCGGAATTCCGGCGTTACCTTTTGGCAGGACTAACGAATCTATGCATAGTCCAATCAAAAACACGTAACAAACTAGACATTCAGTTCATGAACAACATGGATTTCAACGTGCAGATATCGGTTGACTGCAGGATTTGCAAAGCATGTGTACCGTCAACTGGGCGTCGACAGATATTTGGCTGACAATTTCATGCTTGTAATCAAGTGATTTGATGCAATTCGCGGGGTAAGACCCGTTTTATCATGTTTACTACAATATAGATCTTGATTATCAATCAGATCATCTTGACTGGTCGCTGTCATTTTGCTTGAAGCAAATATAAGGGATATGAGAGACTGAATCTGATTGGTCAGTAGGAGGGACATAGAAGGGACATACTGTAAATCTGGAAATTAATGTGTCTCCAAATTAATACGACTGCTGACCCCTAGCCAAAAATGCGACTCAAAATCATTGCCAATCCCTCCACCCCATCTCCAGTGGAATGATACGTATCGTTACCTTAATCCAATCAAACAGCAAATAGCACCGCTTATTAGCGCTGAGTAGAGCACTTCCGTAAAAACAATAAACAGTGTTTTCTTAAAAACAACACACAGTTTATACGTTGACTCTGTTGAGTGTGATTAAGGAAGTTCAAAGGCACTAAAATAATTGAACCAACAACCGAGTTCACTGATTGGTATGAGGAGAAGGTGTGAACAAACTTGACACGAGTGGGTAGAACTCTTAACCCCAGCAGTGATAACTCTCCGGATGCCCATTGTGTAATTCCTGTTCTTTGAATTACATTGTTACATACTTCTTACAATTGCTGCTCAATAAACAGTGTTTGTGTTTATATTCAAATTGGTATTTCCACTATCCAAAGTGTGCAGCGAAGCCGTTTTATTTTTGATAGTCATTTGGAGACATAAATGCGAAGTTAATTAATGCGAGCAAAGACCACTCGCATTTTTCACATTTAATTCATGCTCGCATTAATTTCAAGATATACAGTAACTCATGATAGATACTTTGGCGTTGTGATCGAGCCTGGAAATTCCAACCTAGTTTCACAAGTTGGAAACTGGACTTTTACAGTCAGTTAACTCCCTTGCCTCGGGAAGATGTGATTGATACCTCTGCCTGAAGGTCTGACCCTCCATAGAACCTGACAGGAGCTCATGCCAGGTTGGGGACCTCGTCAAGAAAAAGGAGTCATTGACCCTACACAATCCAGCTATTATAAGAGTGATCACCTGAGATCTTTTTTTATTTGTGTGCCCTGTTCCTTACAATTGTATGAGCTTCATTAGACGAGTGGTCCCATATTGGGCTCAGTAGCATCTCTCAGCTGCCAGGACCAGCCTCATGTTGATTCCAATCAAAGATTTACCTTGATTGTGATCTGTGGCCAGGCAGCACCATTCTCCTACCATGGGTCATGCATGTGTGGATACCTTAGAATCGGAGGAAATGTTCTTTTGACACTTTTGAAATTTGGGGCAGCTGTGTTTTTTAGATTTGCTGCAGGAGCGGTCGGGTAGCCTAGTGGTTAAAGCGTTCGCTCGTCACGCCGAAGACCCGGGTTTGATTCCAGACATGGGTACAATGTGTGAAGCCCATTTCTGGTGTCCCCGCCGTGATATTGCTGGAATATTGCTTAAAGCGGCGTAAAACCACACTCACTCACTCACTCACTCACTCACTCACTCACTCACTCACTCACTCACTCACTAGATTCGCTGCAGTAGTATTTGAATCTTGAGACCTCCAACAGGATGTCAAGGATGCCTTCACACGCATGCTAAAGTTTGAACACGGACATGAAATTTCCCTAGCCTTCTTGATGTGCAAAAGTTTAATAATATATGTGTTTGTTTCAGGTACTGTAAGGAGTGCTCCCAGCAGTTGTGTTAATGTGGCTGTGTGCGGGCCAGTATGCCAGAACACTTGATGGAGAGCAACACGATGAGGCCGGTCCAGCTAGAGCCGTTTGACCATCAGGTCGGCGGCCATCACTCCATGTTACGCTTCAATGAGGACACGCTATGCAAGCCCCTCATTCCCCGGGAACAACTCTTCTATGAAACGCTGCCCGAGGAACTGAAGGAGTTCACACCACAGTATAGAGGTGAGAGGGGAACTAAAGCAGGGCAAATGTGGTAGGCACAACTGGCAGTGTGGGGAAGAATGGGTTCCAAGCACCCAATGCTTGTTGTGTGGGGGTTCTGGGGCAGAATGGGTTCCGAGCACCCAATGCTTGTCGTGTGCTGGTTCTGGGGTAGAATGGGTTCCGAGCACCCAATGCTTGTCATGTGCTGGTTCTGGGGTAGAATGGGTTCCGAGCACCCAATGCTTGTCATGTGCTGGTTCTGGGGTAGAATGGGTTCCCAGCACCCAATGCTTGTCATGTGCTGGTGTTTCTAGGGAAGAATGGGTTCCAAGCACCCAATGCTTGTTGTGTGGGGGTTCTGGGGCAGAATGGGTTCCGAGCACCCAATGCTTGTCGTGTGCTGGTTCTGGGGTAGAATGGGTTCCGAGCACCCAATGCTTGTCATGTGCTGGTTCTGGGGAAGAATGGGTTCCGAGCACCCAATGCTTGTCATGTGCTGGTTCTGGGGTAGAATGGGTTCCCAGCACCCAATGCTTGTCATGTGCTGGTTCTGGGGTAGAATGGGTTCCCAGCACCCAATGCTTGTTATGTGGGGGATCTGGGGCAGAATGGGTTCCGAGCACCCAATGCTTGTCATGTGCTGGTGTTTCTAGGGAAGAATGGGTTCCCAGCACCCAGTGCTTGTCGTGTGCAGGTCCTGGGGCAGAATAGGTTCCCAGCACCCAGTGCTTGTCATGTGCTTGTGTTTCTAGGGAAGAATGGGTTCCCAGCACCTAGTGCTTGTCATGTGCTGGTGTTTCTAGGGAAGAATGGGTTCCCAGCACCCAGTGCTTGTCGTGTGCAGGTCCTGGGGCAGAATAGGTTCCAGCACCCAGTGCTTGTCATGTGCTTGTGTTTCTAGGGAAGAATGGGTTCCCAGCACCTAGTGCTTGTCATGTGCTGGTGTTTCTAGGGAAGAATGGGTTCCAAGCACCCAATGCTTGTTGTGTGGGGGTTCTGGGGCAGAATGGGTTCCGAGCACCCAATGCTTGTCGTGTGCTGGTTCTGGGGTAGAATGGGTTCCCAGCACCCAATGCTTGTCATGTGCTGGTTCTGGGGTAGAATGGGTTCCCAGCACCCAGTGCTTGTCATGTGCTTGTGTTTCTAGGGAAGAATGGGATCCCAGCACCCAGTGCTTGTCGTGTGCAGGTCCTGGGGCAGAATAGGTTCCCAGCACCCAGTGCTTGTCATGTGCTTGTGTTTCTAGGGAAGAATGGGTTCCCAGCACCCAGTGCTTGTCGTGTGCAGGTCCTGGGGCAGAATAGGTTCCCAGCACCCAGTGCTTGTCATGTGCTTGTGTTTCTAGGGAAGAATGGGTTCCCAGCACCCAGTGCTTGTTGTGTGAGGGTCCTGGGAAAGAATGGGTTCCAAGCACCCAGTGCTTGTCGTGTGGGGATGTTTTTAAGGCAGAATGGGTTCACAGCACCCAAGGCTTGTCGTGTGGGGATCTTCTCATGGAATACTGTGGCAAAATAGGTCTTCAATGCCACATGCTTGTTTCCCCATGGAATACTGTGGCATTTTAAACCTAGTGCTTGAAAGCCTTGTTTCAAATCCTGATGTCATGTTTTGAAACAAGCATCTCCAATCCCAGGTTTTGAAATGATCCTTGTAAACCCTCATGTAGGTTACATGGATAAGTCATGTCAACCGGATGTATTGACACCAGTAAATTATTTCGTCAACAACGTCAAGGTGTTCAGACATGGAGTTCAGAAAAGAAAATTATTTTAGTGTATTTGTGAAAAAGGTTAGGTGAGCAAATTAGTAGCGTACTGGCAGTAGTTCACAGTAGGAATTCCCAGTGCAGCTGCGTCTCCCAGCTTGATGACACGGTGGGGAGTCGGACTGATAAACTGTTCAAAGCACATGTTCTGAAGACTTGGGCAAGTTGCCCAGAAAACACAAGCTTGGGTGTTGCTTTGCAGTTAATTAGTTTCTTTATGAAGAGTACCACTCCCTATGAATACTGCGTATTGAATATCATTAATTGTGCTATTAACATGATTAATGTCATTGTTAGGCGTGCTGTTCGTTTAAGGTGCTACAATCTGACCATGGTGGAAATATTTTCAGGGAGTGTGTTCTAGAGCAGATACCAGGTGTCTTTCTGGGCTCTCATTGTGGCTACCTCGAACAGGGTCACCAAATGAAATGTTTGAAAGGGAGAGAGAATAAACATGTTCAAATTTAACGTCACTTCTGTATTATTTCAGCCATATAGCGACAAAAACAAGTTCATATATATATATATATACACACACACACACACACTACACCCCCACACCCCCACTGAAACATATTTTGGCTTGACAATATTATTTAGAACTGTTTGAAGTAAGAGGACACATATATGTTGCTGATGATGCGCTGTGATATTACAAGCAGTTGTTACCGTGGTTACAGTGGCAGAATGTCATGACTATTATCAAGGTTTATCAGTTGTGTAATTGGTTTATTCATTCGACCCACTGAGGGCAACAGACACACTCTGAAAATATAACATAAAACTGGTGCAGTAATGACTTTTTTGTCAGGGTGATTAGAAAGATCAAAATCATACAAACCCTATGTAGTAAGAAATGTCTCACTTCTTTAATCCTATTAATAATCATGATAAAAGATAATGTATTGAATGTAGGCTGTGACCACTACAGTCCTCTTATTCTGATATTCAGAGAACAAAACCTTGCCACATGCATAGTCGCCTCTTACGACACGCATAGTCGCTTCTTATGACAAGCAGAGTTGCCTCCTACGATAAGCATAGTCGCTTCTTACAAGTATAGTCGCCTCTTGTAGGTTATGAAAATATGTAATATTATAAACAAATAAAAATTAAGGATTTGAACATGTTGAATTTCAACGAGAAATGATGAGAGTATTTCCTGGTGGAAGTCACATTGACAAGCTGGTCGGTCAGTGTTGAAGCTAGCCTGATATTCCATGCATGCTAACAAGTGCAGGTATTTACTGTTTAAATAACATGAACGCTATCCTACCCATCAACCCATATCAAATGATTGTATGGCTGAATAAATATTAAGATGTTTGAAAGGACTAATGGATTTCTGGTTCTGGACCTGGTTTCTTATGCTGCTAGGCTTGTGTAAATGTTGTGCATGCTTTGTGCATGCTCTGTGCATGATGCAGGTGTCACTCTGAATGCACACAGGGGGCTGTTATATAGATGTATTGTCATCTTGGATGTTTGTCTACAATTTGTGTTTACATTTCCGTGTCCCATATAATGTAATGCATACAAGTCGTTCTGCCGATCGTTATCGACATCAGGAACATTAGGCAGTGTTAGCCTGAGAGGAATAAGGACATTATATGTGCTGCTGTTCTCGCTGTGTAAGAGGAGTTTTTGAAGTTGTGTAGGCAAATTACCTTCATCTTTCTTTTTAAAATGGGGCCCACAGGTAGCCCAGTCGTTTAACATGTCTAAGGCGCCGCGATTCGCTGTGCAGAGTTGCGTCCCTTGGGCATGCCAGAATCCCGGTTCGCCCCGATTATGTTTCTAGGTTTTTCAGCACCATATCTGTGCTCGTGGGTTTTATCAAAGTGGTAAACATCCTGCATCACTTTGGGCTTTCCTCCCACTTTAACTTGACACGCCGTGATATAACTGGAATACTGTAAAAGCGGCATTTAACATAACTCACTCACTCACTCACTTTTTTTAAGGTGACTGATTTTCTATATACTTATCCATCTACCCATCTATCTATCTAAATGGCATATGTCCATCAGCCCACCATATTGAGACATATCTGCCCCCCCCCCTGCTGACTGGGACCTAATCTTGTGAGAGTGTTGCAGGTATGATTGAGGTGAAGCTCCACGAGGACAGTGATGGATACATCAAGCTGATTGGCTACCCACTACAGAAGAACCAAAATCACCGCAACTCCTGTTCCCCCACGTCCAGTGAGAGTGACTCGGAGATGTCAGGAGCCGCTGTATCAATACCCTTGTCAAACAGACTGGAACAAACTAAGTGAGTTGTCTCCCTTCATCTGTGGACAAGTTCAAACATACAAGTTGAATTTTAGAACCATGATGAGATGAAAATTCCAATAGTCATCACAGATAAGATAAAACCAAAATGATGCGTGCTGGATGCAATACATACAACAAGGCAGCAATAGAAACTAACATTTTTAGTCCACTAATCCTTATAATGATAACATATAGCAAAACCCTTAAAAATGGCAAATTTCTACTAGTCCTTAGGATACCTTAACTATTGGGCAGTTTGGCAAGGACTACAGGACTAGTGCCAATTTCTAACGCTGCAAGGGTGTTTCCATTTGAAGATGGCGAGCTCATACAACATTGTCGGAAATTATTGATGAAATTTGTTATAAACGTATTCATTTTGAGATTATGGTTAAATAGCAATGACATGCTATTATCTGATCTAGAGTTGATCTAAATGCTTCTCCAGACATAATAAAGATAACATGCACCTGCGAAGATCCGGGTCAGAATAGGTCTTCAGCAAGTGACAGCAGCAAATGCTTGCCATAAAAGGTGACTAACAGGATCAGTGGGTCCGGCTCGCTGACTTGGTTGATGCATGTCATTGTATCCCAATTGCGTGGGTAGATACTCATGATGTCAATCACTTGATAGTCAGGTCCAGATTTACAAGCCGCCGTCATATAGCTGGAATATTGCAGTGTGCGGTGTTAAACAAGAAACAAACAAAGATAGGATGTGTTTGTAATACTATCACCACACAGGATACTGGAGTGACAGCTTGTTGTCTGCAACTCTAAGACCTTTTAGCATGTTGACCTACACCCATTCAATAATTGCATGCCAGGGATGCGTTTAGTTGTTGATAAGGAATTGAAGTCAGTGTCTACTAATTCCTGAGGGCGGTCGGGTAGCCTAGTGGTTAAAGTGTTCGTTTCCCGACATGGGTACAATGTGTGAAGCCCATTTCTGGTGGCCCCCGCCGTGATATTGCTGGAATATTGCTAAAAGCGGCGTAAAACCATACTCACTCACTCACTCACTAATTTCTGTAAAATCCTGGGGCCCCGTTTTGCGAAGCTCTCATAGTGTTGCGACTTTCATCTGATCATAAGTTTGTGTTAAGGTATAGGAGGAATGACAGCCATAGTGTTATGATTGATTTGTCATGTTTGTGAGACGGAGCCCGAGTGGTTATCAAGTTCCTCCTCTGATTATGCTAATGTCCACATCAATATTTACCCCGTGAGGATCCCGGGTTACATTTGGTTCCCCGCAGCCCATGCTGGGCGTAAGAGGCTACCAAATAGATCAGGTGGTCAGGCTTGGTGACTTGAATGTCGACGTACCCCAATGGTGTGATCACAATATCAATCACTGGTTTGTCTGGCCCAGACTTGATTATTTACAGGCCACATGCATAGAGCTGGAATATTGCCGAGTGTGGTGTTCAACAGGAAACACAAACAAACACAACATGAGTAGGCTGCTTGCCTGTACCCAATGCTTGTTGCAGGTGACAAGGGAAGGGGATTGGTTGGTCATACTCACACCTGAATGTGTATTGGATGGCTTACCTGTGACCTGGCTTGTCATCTAGCCCGATGGTGGGGAGTGCTACTCACAATATACCTGGTTTGTGTGGTCCATAAGCGCTTACTTTACTGGCCACCATGATATTGTTTTTTTTCCATTTAGATTTCCACTGAGTATTTTGTAACAATACTTGACTAGTGAATTTACACATAACTTCTAGGTAGACCTAGAAATAATTGCTATGATAATATTGCATTCAAAGGATTGTTTGATATGCATGTTGACTGAATATTTTTGAGGTTGGGCAAGTGAAAAGCACAGCTTGAGCTTTGGATCGGTTAAGGGAGAGTCCATTTCCACTTGGAGGAATTGGTGGTGTAGGCATTGAAGGTGCTTCAGTTGTGCAGAGTTGCATCCCCTTTCCAGAATCTGAAGGTCATGGGTGTGACCTAAACATTAAGACCTTCAAAACCTGCATCATCTATTTTTCTCCCGCGTAATGCTGACATATATTACTGATACACTGTTGAAACTATTTAGGTGTTTCCAACTCTGTTCTGTGTGATGTTGATGTTGATGTGATGTTGATGTGATGTAGATGTGATGTTGATGTGATGTAGATGTGATGTTGATGTGATGTTGATGTGATGTTGATGTGATGTAGATGTGATGTTGATGTGATGTAGATGTCATGTTGATGTCATGTTGATGTGATGTTGATGTGATGTTGATGTGTGGTGGAACTGTTACAGAAGCAGCATGAAGCTGCTGCGTAGCGGGAGTATCGAGGTCAGCACCAGGACGGACAAGACCTACTTCACACCCGACGTCGGCAGTGGCGGCAAGGCTCGCAACAACAAGGCCTCTCTGAATCCCTGGAGCCTGAAATGCCACAAGGAGCAGGTGGCTCGCATGAGGCAGGACCGACATGACCCAGATCAGTCCAGTATCCTTCATGGCAGTGTTATCTTCATGGCATAAAGATAAGCCATTATAAATTTTTGTATTCCCGCATATTCTCACAATCCTCACTTTTATTATCTGTACCTTTTCTCCTAATACCTTTTTGCCATATATCTCCCACTTTTAGTTGCGATCGTTCGGCCATTGCATTCATCTACGTTGCCAAGCTAAATCTGTGGGGAACAACTCACTGGACACTTCCCTTTAAAAAATAACGTTGTCCAATCTATGATGTCATCAAGTTGCGAGCGCATGTTCGAATCTGATATCATGATAGAACAAAGTTTTATCGTAAAATAAACCACGCTTCCTTCTTCATTGTTCTTTGATTTATCACGTAGCTTTCTTATATATTTTCATAAACTGCCCGTGCCGCTGCCAAATCCCTACTAAATCCCTGCTAAATCCCTGCTAAATGCCTAGCCAGGTTAGTGTCCCCAAGTCCCTGCACTGCAGGTGATGAGGTGGTCCCTTATCTGGTTACTTGATGTATTCACCATTTCAAAGTCCTAACAAGCTAGTCATGCCACCTGTTGACAGTTACCATACACAGATGCGGGGGCATGGGTGGCCCAGTCGTCTAAGGCGCCGCGATCCGTGCTTTGGGTTGCACCAAAGTGGTAAATGTCTGAGACCTGCATCACTTTGGGCTTTCCTCCTGCATTAAGCTGACACGCCGTGATATAACTGGAATACTGTTAAAAGCGGCGTTAAACTCACTCACTCACTCACTCTCACTCACTCACTCACTCACTCACTCACTCACTCACTCATACACAGATGCCTTGAAAAGTGTGTTTGGAAAATATAAAATATACAACAATAAAATGCTTCCCATAACATTCTTGAAAAATGTCTAAAATGGAATAATTAATATTATTTTTTGAAATGTTTGATGGTCATCACATAGAAGTTGATGGATGACAAAGTACGCACAACTTATAGATAACAATGTCTTTATTTTACTGTAACGGTGACACATCTGTAGGGATTCCTATACCGTTTTTAAGCAAGAACAACAGTATAAGGATCTATACCGAAACATAGCCTTTACAGAAAAATAAAGAAGTTGTTTTCTGTCAATTGTGTCATGTCAGGGGGTCAGGGTCCCTGGGGTCAGGTCGCACCGGCTTAGGGTGGTGCTTGGCTTGGCTTTACACCGGCTTAGGGTGGTGCTTGGCTTGGCTTTACACCGGCTTAGGGTAGTGCTTGGCTTTACACCGGCTTAGGGTGGTGCTTGGCTTGGCTTTACACCGGCTTAGGGTAGTGCTTGGCTTGGCTTTACACCAGCTTAGGGTGGTGCTTGGCTTGGCTTAACATGGTAACCATGCTGGTGCTGGATGAGTTTGGGTGTAATATTTTTTGTAGCTGGGAACTTTGGTTTGTGGTGTTCAAAAGAAATTTCATCGAAAGAAAAACGAAATGCATAGTATAGGAAAAGTATGAAAATATACAAATAATTTATTAACCCAAATTCCACCCCAGGAGTCAAATATGATGAAGTGTGTGTGTATGGTGGTTTGGGGGTGGTGGGGGGGGGGGGGGGTGGGGGGGGGTGGGGGTCGTTAGAGAACATATAGGGGGTATATAGTTTTATTTACTGACCAACAACGGGTTCCTGTGGTCCTTTCTGGTGCTGGGATTATTGACCAAAATTTCAGTCACGGGAATGCCTGGTCCAGATCGGCTTCTGTGATAAAAATTTCAATTAAGCATGTATGTCATCCAAACATAATACAATCTTATTCGTTTTAAGATATAATTAATTATTATTTACCAAAAAAATATTATTTCTGACCATTACATATGCAAACATTGGTGATAATTCCAAAGTCACTTAGCCATTTTTCTTAACTTGGCAAGAATTTATCCTACTTGAGAACGTAGCAGCACATTTCAGGTACCCATGTATCTTGGATCTGAAAATGGGGCCACGGCAGCATGGGGACGATGCCACTGCGGAAAAACGGGAAACTCAGGTCAAGAAGTGTGCAGCAACTACATCTGTGTCGCTTGGACTACGAATGTGTGGAATGCAGGTCAGGAGAAATAACTCTTGCATCATCGTCTAAGACCTGCTTTCCTCCCACATTAAGCTGACACGCTGTGATATAACTGGAATACTGTTAAAAGCAGCGTTAAACTCAACTCACTCACTCACTCTTGGTTCCTATGATGAAAAACCTGGGCTGGATTTAAGGAACTTGATTTTACTTGCACCAGGTGCATGTTGACATGAAAACTAAGTTACACCAAGCAAAACCAGGTTACACCCTGGTCCCATAAATTAATCAGAGTTGAAACAGCCCATCTTGCCGTCAGCGTCACACATATATTAATGATGCATTGCTGTAAAATGTAATAGGAACATGTGCACATATTCTTTTAAGTGCCCACAGTTTGCTGGCCTCACGCCTGAGAAAGCATGACAAGTTACACGTACTACAGGATTAATGATGTATGGTGAATAAGCTGTAGAGGTATTGATTGTTTGCGAGGATCAATTTTGTGTGGACAAGTAAGGGTTAGTAATTTGTTGATATGCACTTGGTTGCATTTTCAGTTATAAGATTTCACTTGTGCATGTTTTATTATCCCCTGCCACAAATCTGATTCCGTCCGTCCGTCCGTCCGTCCGTCCGTCCGTCAAATTTCATTTCCGGAGCAGATCTTGAAAACCGTATCATATTTCTTCACCAGACTTGGCACATAGATAGGTCTAGTGGTGAACTGGTGCTTTTTGATAGTTTGGGATGTTTAAAGAAATTATTTTTCGATTTTCCATGGCAAAGACTTTGACTTAGACTGAAAATTGTTGTAGTCGTCGTTTCCGGAGCAGATCTTGAAAACCATACCATATTTCTTAACCAAACGTGGCACATAGATAGGTGCTCCATTGCTCCTAATTGTAATAAAGAAGATGTTCGTCCATATGTCTTATCCTTACTCATTACAAATACAGTTACATATTCTATCATAAACTGCAGATGGCAAAACAACCCCAGTAATAACTTTTTTTAGTGCTGCAATTAGGCCATTTACTAAAAGGCCCAGTTAACATAGTTCACAGGAGCTAATGCATTGCACACAACCGGATATGTCATATTGGCGGGGGATATGAGTATTTCATGCTTGTTATATAACTAAATAGATCTCTGAAAACCCACTGGAAACACTGTGTTCAGCCCATTAACCTTGTATCTTCAGGTGTACCAGCAGACAACAGGCATCTATGTTACCCGGGACAAGTTCTTCGGTCGGACTTTGATGGTGGACACCTTCAAGGACACGCTATATCAGTTCCTACATAATGGACATGCGTTGCGAACATGTGTCATTCAGCCCATCGTCCAGCGTCTAGAAAAACTGTACTTGCAGCTAATGAAACAGCAGACATTCCGGTTCTACTCCAGCTCTCTCCTCATCATGTATGGAGGAGAGGAGGAGGAGACAATATCCCAGGATTCCAGCGAGGAGAACGCCAATGGTGATTCCCCAAGCTGGCAGGAAAACAGCCATCCAGTCATTGAAATCAAAATGATTGATTTTGCACATGCTACTCGCAAAGGATTCTGGGATGACGAGGTGGTGCACAAAGGCCCCGACTCTGGTTACTTGTTTGGTCTGAAGAATCTGATTCAGTTCTTGAAAGACATACAGGAAAAGTATGGTAATGAAGACTCGTCCTAGCCTTATAACATTATGTTTCATGCCATCCCCTCATCGACGTTCTGTCAGCGTCTGTGATCTGTAAAAATAATTCCTTTTTAGGAATATGTACAATCTCAAAATCAGATCTTAGTTCTCGCTACCGCTAAACAAATTTCTGAGGACATCCCAATACAGGTAATGTCATAATGACCTTACATCCTACCGAAAAGAGCGTTGCTTTGACTGACCTATGAAATGACTAACATTAGCCAATCAGAAAGCAGCTTACTTGGGTACTTCCCACGTGCTATGCAACATCTCTTTCGTTCAAATGTTTATCCTATTGAAGTGAAAGATAGATGATTTTGACATGATCGGTCGTACAAGCCGTAACTGTTGTTTGAATACCCCATGCTAACCTTCTTGAGGTTTTAAGATTAGAAAACACTTCCCACTGTCACTTTCGCGATCTGGTAAGCGACGCTCTGATTGGTCGGATGAAAGTTCATTCTGATGTGACCCTTAATGGGATGTCCTCAGATCTTTGTTTAGTGGAAGCAAGAACTAGGATCTGATTATGATGAGATTGGGAATATGTACTTTGTGTTCATAATGAACAGCGTCATAATACTACATCCTGTGGGATGGAAGTGAAGTGTGTTGCCTTATTTCAGCTGCCTAAGAGGAGATGTGTCCCTCACCCTCCTATGTGTCAAAGTGTCGTAGATCAGACAGCCGTCGTGGTTGAATCACATTCCATGAGTGTTGCATGATCGGCCATGTTCAGACATATTCCATCTAGATACCAACTGTCGTCTGTCTTTTGTTATTTGGTTGCAAATTTTCAATTGAGGCCTGAGTCATATACAGTTGATTTTGGACATCACAAAGTTTGATATACATGAGGTAGCGGTTATTGGTTTAATAATGATACCATCTGTCATCTGTACTACTAAAAAATGGTTAAGGACCACCTGATGTTTTCTAGTCTGTCATGGCACAGAAAAGATGGGTGTGGGATGGTCAAATTTTACCATTTGGCAGAGGGAGGGGGGGGGTGGGTGGTGTTGGGGATGAACACATGTTAAATAAAATGGGGGTGAGGGGCGACAAAATATGATACAGTCCTAAGACCAATCCCACATCCCCCCCATCAAAAATGACCTGGCCTAAATATGAAAGAATCACGTGGTCCTTTAGTTCTTTTGAGTAGTATATGTTGTTTTTCAGCATTGACATATGATTACATACTTAAATGTTTAGTGTCCATGTTTTAAGTTGGAGATTTAGTCATATACAATGTATACAGTCAATTTTTGACAAGACAGTAATATATAGCGGATATTGGTATATTCATAGTACCATCTCGTATCTGTCTTTTTGTTGATCAGCATAGGAATATGGTTACATACTTTGATGTTTCGTGTCCGAATTTTAAGTTGTTAATTATATAACATATTATACAGTCAGTTTGGGACATCGCAAAGATGAAATGAATATTGGTTTATGAAGCTAATTCTAATCACCAGCATTTGTGATTTATTTTTTTGTTTATGTCAATAAGGAACTTTGACGTATCAGATTTCAAGGGTCACTTGAGGTTGCATCCATTGTTGACTTTTACTTAATGAAATTGATAATTGAAATATTTCTTACTGCAGACTTCATGTCGTGAAAAGAAGTGTTTGTACCTTGTTACATAACACAGTCTGTGACACTGTTGCAACGTTTTTGACACGTGTGTCACACATTTCTGTCCTCTGAAACGCCATTTTAGTATTTTCCTGATAAGTTGTTGACTGTAAGTACAGTTTTATGTACAATGTTGTGACGAATGATTGCCCTGTTGTGTCGTGGTTGAGGCAGGAAATGTGTCACGGAATGAGTCACGGATCGTGTTACAGGTCACAGAATGTGTCGCGGAATGAGTCGTGAAATGTGTCGCGGAATGAGTCACGGATTGTGTTACTATGTCACAGAATGTGTCGTGGAATGTGTCGCGGAATGAGTAACGAAATATGTCACGGAATGAGTCACAGATCGTGTTACTATGTCACAGAATGTGTCGCAGAATGAGTCACAGATTGTGTTACTATGTCACAGAATGTATTGTGGAATGTGTTGCGGAATGAATCACGGATTGTGTTACTATGTCACAGAATGTGTTGGGAATGTGTCACAGAATATGTCACACTTGACCCAGGGTATTTCTTGATGTCCATACACAGTTGAGGCTGTCTGACCATGAAGCTTTAATGGTTGAGCGACTCCATCAAGTGTGATTCACATGCTACAAATATGGTCATGTCATAATTGGCTGTACTACTGGAACACACTCAGCAGTCCAGTTAGTGATGTGGTTTAGACACATGTATGTATATGTACAGTCTAACATGTTATAATGCCATGCTTTGCCTCATCATGTATTGCCAGAACAATTTCAGGGATAGCTTTTCCTCTACCATGCACCTTGACCATGTTTGCAACCCCCATTGTTACAATAAACCCATTATGAGCCATCCTCCTCCTGTCATGCCCGTTATAATGCCATGGTCATTGTCATGTTGTCATATGCATCCTAATCTCATACTCAATATTATGCCATGACATGGTCCTCAGCTACTAGACAAATAGTGAAATTAGAGAAAGATTTGACCTAGTAAGGTTGTGTTGTTGAATATGCTAGATTGTGCCTATTTTGATATTCAAGACACTTTAAAACAGAATAGTAGCATGATATATCTATGTGAGGGCCGAGAAAGATTTTAAGGTCGGGCATTTCAAGAGTTCCAGATAATAGTAATGGAACACATATCCAAGAACAGTTCTCTTTTGTTATGTACTTATTTATCTCCCTTATCAATATCTAGAATTGTCTTCCTTGTTGTTAACCTTGAATTATCTCGGGGGCGGTCAGGTAGCCTAGTGGTTAAAGCGTTCGCTCGTCACGCCGATTCCCCGACATGGGTACAATGTGTGAAGCCCATTTCTGGTGTCCCCTGCCGTAATATTGCTGGAATATTGCTAAAAGCGGCTTAAAACCATACTCATTTGAATTATCTCCCTTAATCATGTCCTGAATTACTTCCCTTTTTGATATCCAGAGTTATCTTCTTGAAATCATGAGTTATCTCCTTTATTGATTTCCTGAATTATTTCCATTTATGCTAACCTGAGTGATCTCCCTTTCTGATGTCCTAAATTGACTAGTGCATATTTAAATGTACAGTCAAGTCTTGTTAATCCGACAATCAGGTTTATCTGACACTAATGATGGGAACAGATTCAATCAATGCTATTTAGACTCATTAATCCGACACAGTGATCAGCATACTCTGTGGTTATCTGCCCGTGAGTATTCAGTCAGTGGTTTGATGCGAGACGAGTCAGCTGGTAGCTGCATATTACAAAGCTGCAGAGATAGACTTTCCTTAACAATAATTAATTGATGCTTTAAATAAGGAAAACAGTATTAATCACATGCTTAGATTCAATCTCATTAAAATCAGATACAAGTATTCTCGCTATCGCCGGGGACATCCCATTACAGGTCACGTCAGAAGAACCTTTCGTGAACTATGACCGACGAACGTTGGTACTACTTAATTTCATTTATCCGGCATAATCCTATGCAACCAGCCATGTCGGATCAACGGGACTTGACTGTATGTACACCTGCTTGTTGTACCAGTTCTATCTGCACGCCTTTGTTCGTAAGGACTTCCATCATCTTGATACTATTGACCTGATTAAAAAGTTCCTGATTCTTTCAGAGGTTACAGTGGGTTACAGATACACTGGAAACTGCCATTAGGTAGGAGATTGGAAATGATGAGACATACACCATACAATAGTATCATTTGGAAAATGTGGGTGACAAAGGGTTCTTGGGCTTGTTTTCATCATGAAATTTTGATTGTTTGTTGTTGTAAACAAATACGTGTTGTTGTATCATGTACATTGACCTTGATGTGGTGTGGGAGATAGGTCAAACTATTTGTCAGTCACACATAGCAATAATAGGGCAAGGGAACCAGTTTATCATGAATTATACATTGCAGGTTTGGGACTGACCTTTCCATAATCTGAAAGCGTCCTGGATTTTTGTAAGGAAACAAGAGTACCTCTTAGGGTCATACATTTTGTTTCTTAAAGGAAAGAAACAATTTTTATTTTTTCCACAGCACAGACTCTCAGGACACATGGCATGTCCAGCTAACAATTTCTGTAAAACCTGAGGCATTATTTTCGGGAACCAATTATTTTTTTTCAAAAAATTGCAGAATGTCAAATGATTGGACTCTTATCCTGCTTATGGTATTGCATTAGTAGATCATTAACATTGTACATGGTGATCAGGTATATCAGTGTGAAGGTACTATGTAGGATTGGAAAACTGAAACTGGAATATGACCTCCAGCACTGTGCTTGACTGTCCAGTCAGTTATATCTTAATTACATTATGATGAACTCCCAGGCCCATTCGGTGCCAGAGCTTGGTTTGGAGTCCAGTTCAATTAACATACCTGTCGAGTCAGATTAGACTGGTCTGAAACAAATGATATCACAGTAACTTGTCTCACTTTGTCGTTCCGTCTCCAATACAACTGGGTACCCCTGGCAACACCTGGTAGCAGAAGGACTTTTTTCTGATCTGATCTTGTAGCTCACAAAAATGTTTGATGAATTGCTCTGTTTTCAAAGCCATCAAGATGTAGATGGAGACAAAGCAGCTGTATCTTTAGTGCACACGGACTAAGTCAACATAATGGGTTACAGAAGATCTTTGAAATGTTATAAAGGAAAATATTCTCCCCATCCATCAAGGGGCTCTTGTTGTAATACTTAAAACATATTCATTGGATTGCCAGATACAGATACTTTAGCTCACGCCTCAGACATGTTAGAGCATCCTATTGATGTAGACCCCTGTATGTATACTTATACTTATCTCTCTTACCCATTCTACACAATAGTTGATGTAGCACTTCTATTCAGGTCTGGGATATTCACATGACTTAATCTGCACAAAATGTCTCATTTCTCAATCTTGAAGGTTTTGTAGGTTATATTAAACTGTTACTGGAAATGTTCTTCCTGAAAACTTGTGAAGTGTGACATTATCTGAATGCATATAAAGTGCTCTGTCATTGTGTGTGTGCATTGTGAGATGTGATGTTTGGCTCTTGCGAGTGTATCATATGATGGTGTGTGTTTGAATAGGATGCATGTTCTGTGTGTGTGTGTGTGTGAGTGAGAGAGAGATAGTGTGTGTGTGTGTGAGAGAGAGTGATAATGTGTGTTTGAGAGAGAGTGATTGTGTGTGTGTGTGTGTGTGTGTGTGTGTGTGTGTGTGTGTGTGTGTGTGTGTGTGTGTGTGTGTGTGTGTGTGTGCGTTTGAGAAAAATGTGTGTTACTCTCTGTGTGATAGTGTGTGTTTTGGGATATGTGTGATAGCGTGTGTTTGAGAAGGATGTGTGTTACTCTCAGTGTGTGATAGTGTGTGTTTAAGGATATGTGTGATAGTGTGTTTTTGAGAAGGATGTGTGTTACTCTCAGTGTGTGATAGTGTGTGTTTAAGGATATGTGTGATAGTGTGTTTTTGAGAAGGATGTGTGTTACTCTCAGTGTGTGATAGTGTGTGTTTAAGGATATGTGTGATAGTGTGTTTTTGAGAAGGATGTTTGTTACTCTCAGTGTGTGATAGTGTGTTTTTGAGAAGGAAATGTGTTGCTCTGGAAAGGTGCGTGCGTGTGTGCGTGCGTGATGTGACAACATGTCTGTGAGAGGAAGTGATGCTGTCAGTGTATGGGTCTGTATTGTGTGGTGATGTGTGTATGTTGCTATGAGATTGTTGGTGTGTTCGCAAGGATCTATGTGTGCACGGGTAGGTAAAAATGTGTGGTATCATCTTGACTGTATATAACGAGCAACTCACTCTGTAGGTACGTGCAATATGCAGCGGAATATAGAGCTGCCAACATACAGTTTACACAGGGTCAGCATGACACGCTAAATGAGAAAACTGACCCGCCCTCACCCCAGGCTGACAATAGTCGGACATCTGGCACTCTGACAGACCTGGAGTCCTATACAACTGTTCATTTCTGACATGTAATTATTACGGAGACCTCAATGTGTGGTTGCTATGGTGATGTATCGTTAGTCTTCTTGTAGTGTTGCCCAGAAATGGTATTACATGGCAATAACTTCCTTATGTTGTCCATGTGGTCACAGATGTTGGTGAAATTATTTTCTGTAGTCCTCAATGAGAATTGTGACAATTGTTCCATTGTTTACATTGTTTCTGAAGAGCCCCATAGCAACATGATGTCATCCATATTTCATGTTGTCATGACAGTTATATTTGATGTTGTTCCAACAGTAGAGTAACCATGGTGACAGAGCTGATATCTCCATCTGACATCAGGAAACATACATTTTTATACATTTTCTCAGAAAAGGACCATTGGTTATATAAAAATAACCTTTTCACCACTAATTATTTTCCTTGTGAATTAAGTTCAAAATTTCTTCACTTGCGACAGATAATCTGTAATTCTAATAGCTCAATGCCGAGAAGGCAAGACATGTTCAAGTGTGGACACCATTGCAGTTAGCCTTGGTAGTCCTGGGCCCTGTTTCATTAAACTCGTGTAACATTTGTAGCCCCTTAATATTGACAAGGTTTTTCGACTAAGGTCTATGATCATTATCATAGCTAGGGGGAACTTTCCGGCCATGGAAAGGCATGCTGTATGTCATGTTATAAAACAGGAAAGCCAGCGATCTAATGATTTACAACTGTTTGGGAGGTAAATGCTACATGTTTTTGTCGTAACTTAATGCTTTTGGTTTATATTGTTAAAAGTCTCATGGAATGGAGAGTAAGCCTTACAAGAATGTTACAGTGAAAGTTAAGAGACGTCAGGCTTACGAGACATTCATGAGTTTAGGCCTGATGCTAGTGATATCATGCTTCATTTCGGATTTATTGTTAGGCATTGCCAAGAAAAGATTCCTAAATTGACAATCAGATGGAGGTCAAGGCCATCTATGAGACATGTGCTAAACCCAACTCACTCACTCACTCACTCACCCACTCCGTGCTATGGCCTGTATTCATTGAGTGAAGGTGTGCAATCAAATCCGATGTTGATCTTGCAAAGGGAAGTGGCTGACATATATTTTAATCAAGAAGAATGCTGTCATCTCTTTTTCACATGGAAGGTGGTCAGTCCCACCCCTAGTTGGCCATCCCCATCCCCAGTTCCCTGCTGGCTGTGGGGAGTGTAAACATATTGTTACAGGAGATTTAAAATATAATCATGTCATTTTACTGTTAAAATATTGAATATGGGTTTGTATCATTAAAGAAGAGTACCCACAACGTCAATCGTGATTATCATGAAACATTGACATGCATTATGGAGACTCCCACCAGTCTATGATATGTTCATAACCCTCTTGCAGAAAGTCTGCATAGTGCAAAGACTATTGGTTCTGGACCAAGGGCTGTTGAAAGTCGTGTTAAGTAATGGTGTCAGCAATTTTTGTTTGTGAAACAGGGCTTAGGCCATTCATTGTTGTTGAGGTTTAAACTAGTTTTGTGTCGAATTGAGATGCTTGTGTCTATGTACATGACCTCATTTGGGTAATTATTTTTTTTCAAGATCATAACTCTTGACTTAGGACATTGAAGAACATGATCCAAACTTAGCTATTACCTCTTTAAGGCTACAGGTGGGGAAGGCCTTTGCTTGAAGGTACCATGGGATATGTTGGCTGAATCCATTGCTGGGGAAGGCCTTTGCTTGAAGGTACCATGGGATATGCTGGCTGGATCCATTGCTGGGGAAGGCCTTTGCTTGAAGGTACCATGGGATATGTTGGCTGGATCCATTGCTGGGGAAGGCCTTTGCTTGAAGGTACCATGGGATATGTTGGCTGGATCCATTGCTGGGGAAGGCCTTTGCTTGAAGGTACCATGGGATATTTTGTCACCTTGTTGAGATAGCGCCATTGTCCTTGTCATAACTGAATGCAAAATTAATGAAGAATTGTAAATGTGTAAAGTTTTGATACGATTGTATAGTGACACTCCTAGTGTGTATAACTGCTAGTATTTTGTGTATGTATATATCCATTGTCTGGAAAACTAGTTATTATCTGTGACATTATGTCCAGGATATATACAATGTCTGTGACCTTAATTATTGACTCGAGCTGAACCACTATCTGTGAGATTCCAGTGGAATAGAGTATTATAAGCTGAAGTCAGTACTCTAAATTTGAAACAATGGTTTAAGGTTTTGATTGCACATTTTATTTCAGCTATGGTCACATAATCTCCGTGAAGTAATAAGGTGTATAATTTTTAACTTTTGATAGAGAAGTTTGTTTAACGTTTTCGTGCATTCTCAATTGAGGATGGAGATGAAGGGGATGTGCACTGGGATGACTGCATCATTGGTTAGTGTTGACCTGATTACAGTTCACAATCTTTTGAAGGTATTCCAAGTACTGTAAATCCTCAAACAGCTCGCAGGACCTAGCCATACTTTACAAACCTTTACTCTTGACCTCTTGGGGGCAGTCGGTTAGCCTAGTGGTTAAAGTGTTAGCTCAACACACCAAAGACCCGGGGTTCGAATCCTGACATGGATACAATGTGTGGAGCCCATTTCTGGTGTTCCCCGCCGTGATATTGCTGGAATGTTGCTAAAAGTGGCGTACTCACACACTCTTGACTTGTTACCAAAGTTTCACCAGAGTGGTAAATGTCTAGGACCTCTTCGCCTTGTGATTTAACTGAAGTTCTTTTCAAAATTACATTAAACCAAATTTGCACACACTTTACTTGTTACCTTAATGAGAAAGTTCCAGACCGTTGCCATTTTAAGCATTAAGCTGACACTACGTGATATCTCTGTAATCCTAAAAGTGGCGTTAAACCCAAGTCACTTACTCACTCAGTATAACTGCAGTTTAAGATCAGGGGGCGGTCGGGTAGCCTAGTGATTAAAGTGTTCGCTCGTCACGCCGAAGACCTTGTTCGATTCCCTTCATGGGTACAATGTGGGAAGCCAATTTCTGGTGTCCCCCGCCATGATATTGCTGGAATATTGCTAAAAGCGGCGTAAAACCATACTCACTCACTCACTCACTCACTATGGCTTCTCTGATCATTAATCACAGGTTTATGGTATGTAGGATACAGTTAGTATTGGTATTCACAAAATGGTTAGTAGACCTACTACCTATCCACACAATGGGACAAATTAATGTCCCATTATGATTTGTGCTGGAACATATTTGCATGTATTATTGATTATTCATTTAAGACGGATGTTTGTCCGTGTTTGTTAATGTGATTTTCATATGCCATATGTAGATGATCTCTATGTCATATTGGACTCGCATTATAACATTATCTAGGTTCTTTTCATGAATTATTCATGATTATATGATTGAAACAGCATCACTGTTAATATTGGTGAGCCCTTGAACAAATGTATGTTCCAAATGTTTGTGTGATTTATTGCTGGTCGGAAGTCTGTATCATATTTTGCTACGGGTTGCGTCCTCTGCGTGTGAAGGCCGTCTCTCAGTGATCATATTCACAATTGCTGTCAGATATTATTTTTGTCTTGTCAACTCATCACCTTCATCTATCTGAGGATGTGACTATGATGATAAATGTTTTGAGAAGGAACATGTCAATATTGAATATAGTGTATATTTTTAAATGCACATTTTTTATTTTTAAATTTTTAATGTATTAGATGTATTAGAAATAAATATCTTGTACAACTGTTCTATAATGCTGGGTGTTACATGAGCATTAATTAGGACACCATCCCTTAAAACGTTTTTTTGTTTCTCGTTATTTAAAATGAGAAAAATTAGTGCAATGACTATTTTTCCTTTTGTGTTGTTAGAATGCAAATTTATGTTCACTTGTTATAGATATATGTGTAGACCTGCCAGTGTAAGTGTACAGAGTTAACTGCACTTGTGTACAAAAATAATTTTAATAAGGAAAAATAGCCAGACCAGAAATGAGAAATTTTTGTGGGCCCAAGCACCATTATGACCTTTGCTTGTAATTGTGTCGGTGCGTGAAGGACTGCGATCTTCATAGTGAGTCGTATAGGTAACGTAGTTGATGCTAGCTGCCATTGTCCCTAGAGGCCTTCTGATGGGCTCGCAGGACCGAGGCAAGTGTTCTTGTTTACAATTATTTTATGAGACATGATCAGTGTATGAGTGAGGATATCTGTTCTCTTTGCATAAATTAAAATTACTCTGATATGACTTGATTTCTTTGTCATCATTCAATACGTTTAGTTCTTCGATGACTGCTTTATTGGTGTATTGGATAGAGTGTCTGCCCAGAGAGCACTAGCCCAGTGGTTCAGTCCTTCGCCACATCATACTGAAACATCATTCGTGACCAACTCGTGCCATTCTGGGCCGAATTGAGAGGTGAGTGGTGACGAATGACTGAAATACATTGAAGATGGACAAATATACACCTATCAGATCTCTCCGTTCTGACAACGAACTTCTGCTTAAAATCCCAGCAGTGAGATTGAAATCATTTGGTCAGAGATCTTACAAGTTCTTGGCCACTACACTATGGAACCAACTGCCGCTAGAACTGAGACTGTCGCCCACCCTTCCATCTTTCAAGAGTGGACTGAAAACACACCTGTTCCATAACTACTACGGCCTCACATGAACTGTGTACATTATATCAGGCCTGTTTTATAATCTCTGTAGTGCAATGAGCATCCACTTGTGAATGGAAGTTGGCACAGTACAAATGTTCTTCTTCTTCGTCTTCTTCTTCTGGTACTTGTTGGGGCGGTCGGGTAGCCTAGTGGTTTAAAGCGTTAGCTCTTCACGCCGAAGACCCGGGTTCGATTCCCGACATGGGTATAATGTGTGAAACCCATTTCTGGTGTCCCCCACCGTGATATTACTGGAATATTGCTTAAAGCGGCATAAAACCATACTCACTCACTCTGGTACTTGTTACCCTGAATGGCGCTCGGCATTAAGGAGGTAAAACAAGGACTGGGCAGCTTGGAGTCTGTGTACTGTGTCTGAGTGGGGTATCTTGTTAAACTGGCTTATGATATCTCAGTTGGCTGGTCCACCTGGCACATCTGTGGACCGGTACAAGCAGCCACACACACACGTACTTGCAAGTAGCTATTTTAGTGAATAATCCTACAGGCAAGGTCAAAGCCTAGTTTACCTCACCCTCAACCACCTTTCAATGATTGCAGTCCATTTAAGGGTAGCTCTACTGAATTCTTCATATGCAAGCATTTAACTCTGTGTCAATCATTGGCAATAATTGTTGTGAATACCCTACCTCTATTACATCATAGCCATAAATTCATGTTTATGCTGAGAACCACACTACGAATTTAAATAAATTTTCAACAGACGTCCTCTTCACTGCCAACATATCTAATAGTTGTGAGGGAAACCCTATCCCTCGTCGGAGACGCCACTGCGCATGCGCAAGGCGGGAATTAGCTCACTTTTTTCCTGTGTGTCCAGATGACAACGGAATTTTGTTGTTGCATACATCTGTACACGTGATTACTGTTCCACACTTACAAGCCACACTAAATCATCTCAAGCTTCACTAAAGACAAGCAGTGAGCGGTTCTACAAGCAGAGAACAGGGGTATAAGAAGGCAGAAGGCTCTCGGAAGTAATTAGTTAGAGAACGTGTTGTGGGATGAGGACTTCTGTTCAGGTTGTGGGCAACATCAAATCTCTGGTGACCCTCACCCTAGGTGCCTATCATGCAAGACAAGCAATTGCACGCAAAAATCAAGGTGCAGTTATTGTGAACCTTTGTCCAAGAAGAAGTTTGAGAAACTTTCTAAGGCATGGCACGTCCCCATCCATCCAAGTCATCGTTGTTATCTGCGATTCGCACTCAACGATCAGAGATACCTGTCAGGGTACTTCCATTCGGCATATCCATCGCCCCATGGTTATTCACCAGGATCACCAATGCCATCATCGGATTCGCCCATCTAAAGCTCATAAGGCTACACGGATATATAGACGACTTCCTATCGGCCGATCAGGACAAGTCGCAAATCAGATTAAATACAGTGTGTCTTATTCAACTACTAACGCACTTAGGTTTCCTGGTTCACCCTCAAAAATCAAAATTAGTACCCACAAAGGACATCACATACATAGGCGCAAGATTTCTACTCAACAAGGGCATAGTAGCCCCTCCAGAGGACAGATATTCAAGAGTAGAAGACATGATATCAAGCGCACTCGATCAGCCCACCAAATCAAGACGCTGGTGGATGTCTTGCTCACCTCCATCCAAGATCTAACCTACAGAGGCAGACTACAGTTACGTCCCCTGCAAAATTGGATGAATACCACCAAAGACCTAGAGCTGGAAGCCTTAATACAACCCCCCGCAGTTCGAATCTCAGAACTACATTGGTGGCTGACTCGTCAAAATGTCATGTCAGGTATTCCACTATCATATGCCTATCACCCCCCCCCCCCCCCCCCCCCCCCACACACACACACACACGTACACATCCACTCTACACAGACGCAGAGGGTTGGGGTGGCCATATGGACGATATTACAATACAAGGAAAATGGTCCACCCAAGAAGAGGGGTTACACATCAACTGCCTAGACATGAGAGCGATATATCCAGCTCTAGAAGCATGGCAGGATCATCTGCACCACTCGTCAGTAAAGATTGCTACAGACAACTCGACCGTGGTTGCTTACATACAACACCAAGGGGGCACAACGTCTCAGCCTTTATTGAAGGAGGCTACACGTTTATTTGCCTGGGTAAACTCAGTGAGTTGCAGAATCGAAGCCAGACACATAACGGGCAAGTTGAATATCCTAGCAGATTACTTATCCAAGATCGTACCCACGGAATGGTCACTACATCCCGAGATTTTCAAGTGGATAACCTCCCTATGTGATACTCCAAACCTAGACCTATTCGCCACATGTCCCAACAACAAACTACCAGTCTACGTCAGTCCGGTACCAGACCCGCTAGCTCTCCAGGTCGACGCTCTTTCTATGGACTGGGAGGGAATGTTCGCTTACGCATTTCCCCCACGGGCTCTAGACAGAGTTATGAAGAAAATAGAAGAGACAGACTGCGTCATAATTCTCATAGCCCCGGCATGGCCAAACAGGGCTTGGTTTCCAAGGTTACTACCCCTCCTAGTGGAAGAACCTCTGAAACTCCCGGTACGTCACTATTTACCGAGACAACCGAAAACGGACATATTTTACGGCCGCCTCGACAATCTCCACCTTCACGCTTGGAAGTAATCTCGAATACAATGTAAGCCACCGGTTACTCTTAATCAGCTGCACGAAGAGTGGCAAGTTCATGGAGACCAGCATCGTCTGCCCTATACAACAACAGATGGGACAAGTTCGTCTAGTGGAGAATAAGAAATTATTTAGACGTGGAGATAACGATACCTATAGTTGCCGAATTCTTGCTCTATCTCAGAAACGACAAGAAATTTCGACATGGCACTATCGAAGGCTATAGATCCGCCCTCGCATCAGTATTACAACACAATGGCCTATCTATAGGAACCCACCCAGTACTGAATCGACTCATGAAGTCCTTTGCACTGGAAGACATTAAAACACCACGTATATTTCCAAAATGGGATCTACCTATAGTATAGTCAGCATTGATGAAACCACCTAAGAACCCATGATTAGTGCGACATTACTATTAGTTTCCAGGAAGACCTAGCTTTTCTCCTAGCCATGACCACCGGCTCGTGTATCAGAATTACACGTTATTGACATTTCCACCGTAACTCATACCCAAGAATGGAAATCTGTGTCGTTCAGATCACTTCCGGTTTTATTGCCAAAAACCAGTCGTCAACCTTCGGCCCACTCGGACACAGGCAATATACGATACCAGCCTTAAGTAAAAGTGTGGACGATCCGGACAGATTACTTTGTACCATAAGAGCCTTGAGATACTTCATTACAGCTACTCAACCCCACAGAAAGCAGAGAAAACGCCTTTTTATCTCTTGCAAACCCTTGTCAGAAAAGGACATAACCAAGGGTACTGTAGCGGGATGGCTCAGATCGCTACAGACTGACACAAGTCTCCACACCAACTTGGGGAAGCTGCAGACCTCACGAGATCAGAGCCCTTGCAACAAGTCTAGCCACATGGAATACAGTCTCCATTGAACAGGTCGTAGCTAGCTGCCAGTGGAAGTCCCATAACACGTTCTCAAACTTTTACTTACGAGACATACCCAGGTGATAGTCTCCAAGTAACCTTGCCACCCCTTCTTCTCTCAGGAACTTGGGGTGTGGGGTGTGGTGTGTGGTGTGTGGTGTGTGTGAAGATTTCAGAATACCTCATGAACTCAGGGTAAGTTGACCTTTGTACTCAGTTTGCTATTGGATACAAGTGATATACCGTTTCTACACGATGATCTAGGCTGTATGATGTACTACCACCGGAAGTGACGTCATGGGAGACCTCACGTCCGGACTAATGTCAAAATACGTTAAATATCACTATCCAAAAGGGCATAACGGAAACTGCGTCATAGGGTGATATGAAATCATAGAAGACAAATATCGCAAACGTGACATCATAATATGTCTAAGTATCACATTTGTGGCTAAATATATGTATATTATATTTAAAATATGACGTTTTCTCTATGTCTTGCCTTGAAGTTAGGTCATTAGACATATCCCGTTTGGGGCCTTTTGTACACAATCCTTGTATTCCCACTTCACAAAAGCCAAATATCTAAGGGATGCTAGATACCAGATCCCGTGGGTCCCCCTGGTGTATAGTATCTCGTCAAGGAAGAGAGGACGTCTATGTAAAATTGATAAATTAGGAAATATTTGGCCGGAATTCAGCTTTTTAGATGATAAAACTTGCTAAATAAACGGAGATCATAGGTTTTTAAACACAATTATCACCAAAAGATTTCCAAATGGTATTAGGGACTGTCATTTACCATTCTTATAGCAGGCTTTGAGGACTACCTAAGCATGTTTGGGTTTGTAGGAATCCATAGCAAAGCTATCAGGCTATAGCAGGCATGGGGACTTCATAGCTGATCAGATATATATTCACAAGAATAGGCCTAATCTATGATATCAATACTAGTATTCAGAGACCTGATTTTATAAATACGTGATTTTTATCTCAATAAAATCCTTCCATCTTTAAGAACAAAACATAAATTTGACCATCTGTTGACTCTCAGAGC